CCAGCGCTTGGATCCCTGGTACATCTACTCGACGACCAACCCGTCTCCGGACGGGAACAGGGTGATCTCGCCGACATCGACGGCGACGGCGGCATCAGGGACGACACGTTCTACGACTGCGAGGACTACGACGAGAAGATGGGCGTCGGCTCAGGTGCCTGAGCGGCTGCATTGGGCTGTTTCCCACAGCTCGGCGCCAGCGGCGCACCCCCTGAAGGCCCTCCGCGCACGCCTCTCTGCCACGACCTTCGGGAAGAACAAGGAGCGGGCGAGGTGCGAGAGGCCAGCCGAGGATTCCTCCGAAGGGCCCTGGAGGAGAGACTCGCCCCGACTCGGACTTCCAGGATCCTATGCTTGCCGTCGCTCGGACGTCCATTTCCCGTGCATGTTTCGGTTTCGTGCGTGGTTTTGTCTGCTCGGTGGTCCAGGATGCTCCTCCAGGGTCCTCGCCGAGAAACAAATGCACACGTCCGAGCGATGCCAAGCATGGGCGTGGACGGCGCGGTAACTGTGGAGATCGACGGGGAACTGCGCGACGAGCAGCGCAAGGCCGCCGACATGCACAATCCGTGCTCCGTGGAACGCTTCGAGTCCAGCAGAGGCAGAGGCGCCATCTTACACGACGGCGGCGACAGCGGTGTCGTGAACTACGTGGCCAGGGAGGATACCGACAAGGAGCCCCTGTCATCGGATGCCGAGAAGAAGACAGATGAGAATATGGCGGGCATTTGCCAGAGTATCATCGGATGCAAAGATGAAAAAAAAAGGTACGCCGCGTGGACGACAACAACAAGACCCTCGAGGATTACGCCAACCGCCTCGAACTACCTGCGGAGGTCCCGAGGGAGTGGATGCCATCAGACTCGGTACCAAATGTCTATCACGTCAAGGCTCACATTGCACTCCTCATGGCGACGACCCAGAACCTCAAGCCGGAGGTTCGTCGTCTGGACCAAGTGCTCGCCAGGATGCATGGTGCCGAAGGTGGTTCACTGTGCCGTCAGAGGAGGATCGTTCAGCCCCAGGAAGCGGGAGAGGAGTCTCGAGCTGAAATTCAACGGGCCAAACTGCAGCGGTACCTCGACTAGCATCAGACCAAGACAGCGTTGACCAAGTAGCGCATCGAGGCAGAGAACGGACTCGTATACGCTCAACGTCAATTGAGGGAACTGGAGCACAAGGCGTTCGATCCAAAGACCGAGAGCCCCACAGACTACACTGAGGGGCTGCCGACCTTCCTCTATAATTTCGCGATACATTCGGAGATGCAACGCATCCAGCGTTCCAGAATGAACCAGCTCGCGCAGTCCTCATTCAATGTCCATACCTGAACCTTTTGGAAACTACTTCAAAAGACAGCTGCGGAATCGCCCCTACAGGATCAAGCACGCCTTGAACGACAAGAGAGGCAATTTCAGCATGATGGCGGACCTGGAGGAAGCAGTGGGTACACCGGGGGGAGTCCGAGAACCTACCAAGAAGAACCTAGGCCGTGCGCGGACTCAACCTATGACCGAGGAAGCTATCCAAGCAAGAAAAAGGATAAGCACCCAAGGCGTCAGCAGAAAGGAAAGGCCAAGCGCCAGGCCAAGCACACTCCTCCTCCTCCTCCCCCCCCCTCCTCCTCCTCCTC